GCTCAGTGGTTGGCACATCTGCTTCACAATTCTGAGGTTTGAAATTTTGCCTGCGATCTTCCTGTTTGCCCTGTATTTGTTCTCCCTTGCTTGTGTACATTCTCCTCTAGGTATACTACCTTCCTCCCACATCCTAAAAACGCGCATGTTCACTTCATTGAAGACTAAACCAAGTCTGTACAATTTGCGACACATCGAAAATGCCATCCAAAGAAATGAAATAAGAATACACGCTACCCTGACAAAATTGAAGACATTACACAATAACACATGCACAAAAAAACAAAAAAACATAAAACCCTGCATCGAAGTAGGAAATATCTGGTGAGTTGATGTTTCACCTCAAATCATTCCAGTCAAGTGAACTGAAAATATGGCTGACCGGAATGCTACTGTGTGAATGAATGCGCACTCAGAAGTGCAATGGGATATTCTGGGACGCTTTACAACACAATGAAATGCCTAATGAAATGAATCTTGGTGGCTATAAATATGCCTCGTGGTCCTTTTGGTGGGAACAAAAACTTGACAGGTTTTCCTTCAAATATTGACAGTTTGCATCCTACAATTGTGACGAGCTCGAGTTTCATCTCGGCTGTTGTATATGAAAGGTTATAATCTTTTGGCTCATGCCACCACATCATTTCTGCCAATGTCAAGTTGTTCTTGAACAACTTGCGATGTTATCGCACAGTTAGAGTATGTCCCATTTTTGCTTTTATGTTTTGTTTTGTTTTTTTCTCCCAAATCGTGCAGTTGTAGGACTGGCACCTGATCACCAGTAGGTTGGATATTTGGAGAACATTCAATATAAATGTAACAAGGCTATCATGGCTCAACGTCAGAAAACAGGTGATTGGTTGTTACCTGAGCCCTGAGCAACTGTGATGTTATTTTCAGTTGACAGTATGTGGATAAATGCCTGCCTCATGACATGACTAAAAATGACTTTACTGCAATACTCATATTCTAAAAACGCAAAATTAATCAGAATGACATGTTTGCAGTTGACTTTTTCTTTAAGCCTCTGTAAAAATGTTTTTTTTGAGTTGTTGTCTACAGGTGATAGATCACATAAAAGGCGGAAAAAAAATTCTCATTTTGTAAGAAAAAAAATGGCAGACAAGCAGGCGTTAGACTTTTTATATCCACTGCACAATTTATAGTCTTCAGTTGACCTAATGTGCATGTTTTTGGACTGTAGGAAGAAGCCAGAGTACCTGAAGAAATCCCACTCTAGGATGCAGGATCCACACAGAAAGAAAATTGGATTCGAACCCCCAACCACATAACTCTGACGCGGATGTGCTTACTGCTTTTTCACTGTGTCGTGAAATGCTGCAATATAGAGGTTGGTGGTACATCCTGGACTGGTCACCAGCCAGGGCACATATCGGCAAACAATCATTCATAATCATATTCACACCTATAAGGACAACTTTGTCATCAATGAACCTGTCACGTAAGAGGAAGCCAAAGTACTTGGAAGAAACACGCATGAGGCCCGAACTTTAAAACTGTGAGGCAGTTTAACCTCAAATGCGTCACTAGTTTCATAATTTTCACAAATTTAGTGTCTTGGTGGCACGGTGGGGTTTGCATCGTCTCCTTGTGGCTGTGTGGGTTTTCAATGGGTACTCCCACATTCTAAAACATGCATGCCTGCCACCCTACTGAACCGAAGTGGTTCCGAAAATGGATGGATGGATGGATGGATGGATGGATGGAAGCATGGATGGATGGATGGATGGTGAGTATAGCTCTTGGAAGACTTTTTAAATACTGAAATGACCTCGAAGAGGGAAAATGCCCAACTCAACTTTACATCTGTGTCTTTTGGTCTTGTAATTGGATCAATCCATGTATAATGCAATTTTATAATGTGGTCAAAAACTCAAATAAAATTTTTCAATTTCTGGTTATTACTGAAAAAAAAAAACAGAACAGGGATTCAACAAACAACAAAGATTGTGACTGTGTACCAAGACTTCGAGCAATCTACGTAATATGCAGCCTGCCGTTTCAAACTACTCCCCTTGTTTACGGTGCATTTCACTTAAGTCATGTTTCACAAGCCTGCAGGCTACAGAATAGCCCAAGTTGCCCAGGAGTCATGCTGAGTCCGCTCTATATCATCTCTCCCAGTCAGGTGGGTTTAAAGGCGCGCCGCCCCTTGGTCAAAATAGACCTGCTGCTCCTTGGCCCTTGTAACTATAGCGGCAGCCCACTCAGCAGTTACTCACTGCTGTCATTTAGCTCCAGCAGGTGAAAGGCGAGCGGTGCATGCAAAATTGGGGTGAGGGTTAGATATCCTGGCTGGCGGAAGCGGTAGCAAGTGGAGCTCTGACTTGTGTAACTCTAACTTGACTGATACGTCCTCTTTGGGTGAAAGTGAGGACGTGTGAGATTAATTTTGCTTTTTTTTCCCCATCAACCATAAGCCAAAGGATTTCACATGCTAACTTTCCTCACCAACAACCATTTAAATCTAATAATAACTCCATTCGAAGAGTATTTTGTTCTAGGGTCAAACTCCTGCCAACATAAAGCCTTTATTCACGATAGAAGTGTTATTTTCGGTGACATTTTAGCATTCCTAGCTGTGATGCAAGTTAATGGGTGACATTTTAGCATTCCTAGCTGTGATGCAAGTTTAAACCTACCTGTCAGTTAATGTGATTATAATTGTTAATAGGTTCTCTACTCTGTGCCTCTCCTGACTGACCAAGCTACTCATCCTATTTCAAAGGGAGAGCCCATCCATTTCTGTCGCTTGTATCCGGGCTTTTGCTGTTTGGGTGACATAGCTCATGACCTGATGTGAGGGTAGGAATGTAGCTCCACTGGTAAACCGAGAGCTTCACCTTTCAGTCCCGCTCCTTCTTTCACCATGACAGATTGATGCAGAGTCCATCTTCATCACTGCAGACACTGTTGAGCTCCCACTCCGTTCTTCCCTCACCCGTGAGCATGACCCCAAGATATGTGAACTCCTTCGATTGAGGACCAGGATCTCAGATTTGGAGGTGCTATTTTCATTCCAACCACTTCACACTGTGAACCACTCCAGCAAGAGTGGAAGATCACAGTTTGGTGAAGTCAACACAACCACATCATCTGCAAAAAACAAAGACTTTGGATGAAGTCCCCAAAATAGACACCCTCAATGCCCCCCATGTATCTAGATTCTGTCTGTATGAATAATGAACAGAATTGGTGACAAAGACCAAGCTTGGTGGAGGTCAAACGTCACTGGGAACAAATTTGACTTACTGCTGCCAATGTGGACCATGACATTGATTTGACTTGAACCAAACAGCTCGTTTCAGAAAAGCATGTACCCCTTATTCCTGGAGCACGCTCCACAAAACTCAGAGGGACACATTCAAACACCTGTTTCACATCCACAAAAAATATGTAGACTAGTTGACCAAACTCCCATGCACCCCACGGCCAGGATGAAAACCACATTGATCCTCTGGATCTAGGATTTGACTTCCTGATATACCCCTCCTCTCGAGAACCCCTGAATAGACCTTACCAGGAAGGTTGAGGAGTGTGAGCCACCGGTTGTTGGAACACACCCTCTGGTCCTCAGGATGTTTTCGCCTTTGTGCGCCGTTGTAGGATGGAAGTAGTCTTTTCTGGGCAACCCTATTCACCACCTCTCATTTGCATCAAAATCAGGGCGACCCGGGCACAATACGCCATGCTTGACATTGTGAAAACAGAAATAGACTCGCTGGGGTCTGTGCATGGCATTGTCAAGTAAACCAGTCCCAAACACGTTAGACTAGATTTGCTCCGTCACAAAAATGAAGTCACGCACATTTTTATGCTTAGCATATGGGCGCCAGTTATCAAAATAAGGTGCGCAGAGCGTAAATAATTAACCCTACGCCAAATCCTGATATTGGCATTTTGTTCCATCCCTATTCTATAGCATGGAGTAAATGTGCTTCTGAACCATATGGTACAACTCTATTCATTGGACAATATCGTATTTGATCGATAATACAGTTTTCCTTCGTCAAGAATATTTTAGATGTCAATATTTTTTTCCAACCCATTGATCAAGGGTAAAACGGGTCGACTACCCAAGTCCCCCCCCCATGAAGGTCACACTGTCAGTCATAAGACATGCAGTGCTGATTGATTAATGACTAGGCAGACTGTGTTGCTATACAGAGATCCTCTGCCCCCTTCTGATTGAAAATGTAGCAAAATGTTCACTCAGTCTAGACACACAATAGTATAATTCTAACTATTGAGGTACATATATAAAAGATCACACACGTCGCAGATTGGTACGCTTGACTAAACGAGTACAGTACACGTGCAGCAATATGACTGTAAAAAGGGTCTGTGAGAATATGTTGTTGAAGATGAAGTGACTTCCACAGTCACTCGCTTTATGTGTGCATGTATAATTTGTTTTGTGGATTTTTGCTGCCACCAGCTGGAAATGCACAAAAATTATGTGCGTGTATGTATGTATGTATGTATGTATGTATGTATGTATGTATGTATGTATGTATGTATGTATCCGATTTAAAAGAAAAAAACCCACATCCGATTTGAATGAGAAAAAAAAAGACAGTAAACCATTTATTGACCATCGAATACAAACACAAATAAATATTGAAACAATTAAACACTGAAATAAAATACATACATTCTTAATAACTTTTAAAAAAAAGTTATGTTTTCATTTATTGAATTTGTTACATTTGATCCTCCATTCCTTCGGGACTGCTTCCACTTTTTCTTGTAATCAGCAAGAGGGCGACATCCTCCCTCACATGTCTCACTTCCTCAGCGGCATACTGTACCAGTCCCGGTATTGGTGACGTCACCTCCAAATCCTGGGATAAATTCCAGCCACCCAACAGTCGATCCAAACCAGAAATAAGTCGTGCTATCAAAATAAAAGTTAAACGCCGTGCCTGTCAAACTTCGACTATGATTTTATTTTGAAAATGAACATCGGAAGTGTAACCCTCACCCCTTCCTAGCTTGTTCCGTGTGAATGCGGTGTGGAAGGCTGCTTGCTGGTGGTGGAGGCGCTCAAACCGACGACAGAAAAACTAGAGACCATTGATTGAACAGTCCAGTACGCGATTTATTTGAAAAATTCTGCAAAAGACACAGTTTCGTGTGTTTAAACTTCAATTGTTTGACTAAGTTACTTTTGCCAGGCGGCTTTTTCCTGGGGTCGTGCGGTCTCGAGTGTGTCGCCGTTTCTCTCTGGAGCCAACACTAAGGTAAGCTCCGAATCGTGAACCAACTTAACAACTTTTTACCCTAAAAAATCCACCTGCTGCCGCGTTGAATGTTGTTAAGAGACCTAAATGGAAAACGGCAGTAAAAGTTGTGACGAAACGCGAGCGTGCTCTCGTTACTTTTGAGGCTCTGACGCAGGGTCTTTGTCCAGTCTCAAGCGGTGCAGCCTCCGCCACTTGCGCCGCATTTGGCCTCGTTTTGTCCAAAATAGCAAACATTGTCAATTTTATCCACCCCCTTTAATTAATAAACAGAAACAGCTTTAATTAATATCTTCAACTGCTGTGTATAAGTCCAATAACAGTTTTAATGGAAGTATAGGCGTCATATAGTTACCGCTGTTTTCCAATACCCATTTTTTCTTTTTTTTCCTTCTGTATTCTCATGGTAAAACAATGTTGTCAACGTTAATGTCAGGTTTTAGGGTGTATTGAAATCATAACTCATTGCTCTTCATTGGTTCTAATGGCTCTTCGTGGCTACAGTGAAACTCCTCTAGAACGAAACCTGCATGGGCGAAAATACCCCCTTATGTGAAAAAATCTTCATGCATTAACACAATTCCCATTCTCCTGCCCCCCATACGACGAAAAACCCCCTGTTGCGTTATACGAAATCATTTTGTCTGCTCCCGCCTCGCGAAGACATTCACTACAACGAAGTCTTATCCAACAGCGACCTCTACTGCTTCGTTCGAAAAAAGGCAACAGCAACCACCACACTGGTTTACATAGTGAACGATGTTTATTTCGGTCACAGCTGCGAGTTTCCTGGGCTCAACATACTCATAGCTGCTCTGCTATTGGCTTACCGAGCATCATCCTGGCCTCCGATTGGCCAAGAGGCCACATAGACCTCACTGTCTATGTGTGTAGATACTGAAGCTAGATCCGTAGCATCCGATTAGCTGCTCAGAGTAAATTGCT